AAAAACTAAGCAATCTATTGAAGGAGCAAACTACAAATGGCAACGCTGTTTTGGAAACTAAAAACGTAAGTACGTAAGTGTTTGTTAGAAACATACATATTATCCTGCATTTCCTTCACAGCTCATCTATCGATTTAATTCCAACGTTTTGGGCGAGTTTCTCTGGGGCATCGAAACAAACACACTCGAAAGTCTAGACAAACAAAATACTTATTTGGAAATTTTGAAGAAAGTGCCAGATCAAATTTTCCTAGCTTTAATAAGCCACATCAAATGCATACCATTCCCTTGGCTTCGACGCTTCACAAACTACCGCATATTTACTAACGAAACGGTATCCTTTTTCTCACAACTCACTAAGGATGCTTACAGAATGCGCGAAAAGGACGCGACTAATCAAAATAGAGTAGATTATCTGAATTATCTGCGTCAGCTGCAGGAAAAGAAAAATCTATCGCACGAAGAAGTGGTTGGATACATGGCAACTGTACTTGTAGATGGGTACGATACATCGGCAACGATTGCCTACCATACACTTTTCTATGTGAGTCAAAGATCATTCGCAGAGCTGGTGACACTTAAGTACCTATGAAAATACGTAGTTACAATAACTAATATTACTTTCCAATTTCAGTTGACCCACCACCCAGATTGGCAGGAAAAGGTGCGCAACGAAATTCTAAGCAATCTCGATGCTGATGGTACTGTCAGTTACCAAACTTTGATCAGTCTGCCTTATTTGGATCAGTGTGTGCAAGGTATGTATTCGATTTATGCGCATTTAGACCGAAATACACATAGTTATCAACGATTGCATTACGATTTCTTTTAGAAACACTGCGAATAATTAGTCCGCTTACACTTACTTCGCGAATTTGTACAGAACCCACCGAATTTGAGCTTAACGATGGACGACGTATCCCCATTAAAGTGGGCCAGGAAGTCGCCATTCCATTTTTCAGTTATGTTCACGATCCCGATTACTTTCCCGACCCATGGGAGTTTAAACTGGAGCGTTTCAATAACATTGATCTAGCCGAATTGGCGAAGAGGGGCATTTTTGTTCCCTTCGGTGACGGTCCACGCATTTGTTTGGGTAAATGCCTGCTAGAATTAATCACTGCCAAGGCGATAAACGATTCATTAATTTTTTTTTCTAGGACGACATATGGCAATGTTGCAAGTAAAAACTCCGATTGCCGAAATACTTAAGACTTATCGGCTGAAAGTATGTGAGAAGACTGCGTCTGAAAGAAAACCTGACTCGCCAACTATTGTTGTAGGATTGGATGGTGATTTGATAATTGAATATGAGAGACTCTAGTCAGCAAAAATATTTATATACTCTTCAAAAATATTTTACATTCGGCCCTATTATGCGATGTCGATGTCGACGTCGATGTAATTTTTTAATAAAAAAAAATAACCGTCGTAGGTCCAACTCCGGTTTCGCTGACCACAGTAGTTTTGCGAGGAATACCTTTCCGCAAGCCTATTTTTTGACGAAAAAATATAATCGACGTTGACGTTGAGAACCATAAAGGGTCAATTATTTTGTTAGAGAAAAATTTAGCAATGCACTCTAGGACTTCGGGAGTTTAAATTAAAAATAAATTCCGGGCGATCTATATAAATATGTATGTATATATATATGCTGGGTGCCCTGCTAGCCCTGGCCAAAGTAACATCGCAAAAGTATATGGAAAAAAGATTTTTCTTAACAGCTGTCCCCCCTTGGCTGTTCGGAGTCGGCGTTAAACTGTAAGTCCCTCCCCTTTGTGCGACGCACGCCCCGAATCGGGGAATTGGTGTATAATGGGGTTTTAAGTGTTGAAAGGAAATACTAAAGTTATTGGGTAAACATGTAAGTATAGACAAACAGAGCTATAGAAGCAACGACGCCCGGGGCGTAAATGAAACGAGGCGCCCTTTGATAATAGTGTTTATCACCTCAGTCTATTTTTCTTGTAGGATAATAAATGTATTGCAAAAATAGCTGAAATTTAAAAATTTTTAATTTTTATTGAAATCAAAATTTTCAAATTTCAATTACAAAAAGTTTACTTTGCTTGCTTTGGTTTGAGCAAATTTTTCGTTGGTTTTGGACAAGTCAATCTGAGTGGAAATCTCGTTTTCGATAGATAACTGTCATACCTAAACAAAAGCGGCAGCGTTGTCTGGCTGTCATCTCATGTCCATACAATTTGTATGAAGCAAATTTGTATGAAACAACGCGGCGTCAACGCTGAACAGTTGGAAAATGAAGTTGGCGGCAGAAAACAGCGAAACTGTCATATTCGCATTAGGTATGGGCCTTCGGTGTTAAAGCTAGGCGTCAGAAAATGCTCCGCCCGAAGCTTTTGTTTAGGTAGGGCAGTAAGATAGCTAAAATCGTTTTTTTTTCTTAGGACATAGTAGGTCCTAAGACACTGGCAATGTCAACAAAATTCTGATGGAAATCCAAACAATAGAAAAAATATCGATGACATTTTTCTTGGCAATATAATTTGGCCGATTTAACTGAAAGGAAAATCGAAAATCGAATTTGGTAAAAAAAAGTTCAGATACGATATATATGCGTATGGATGTCTGATACAATAGAAAATCGGTCCCCAATTGTTTGAAGATAAGCTGGAAGAATACTGAGCTTGTACAAATATGCCTATTTTGACGAACGATAATCGCCATTTTTCTGGCGTTTTTCAATCAGTGGTCGTTTCCGTCTCATTTCCTAACGCGAACACAGTCTTGGGTACACTCAGAAAAAAGTCAGCCAAATATATTCCTCTCAACACATGATCTGGTAACTATAAACAAATAATGTAACTATAACCAAATCATGTGTCGATTAAAACATATTTAGTTGACGTAACTAAACTATTTTCTCAGTGTATACCTTTCGTTTTACACATTGTAAACTTGAGTAAAAAACATCATGTCAATTGCGCTCCTTTAGATTTGAAAAAAATTGGATTTCACTTTTTTCGTTAAGCATATAAATTTCGTGTCAGCGTGTATCAATCGGATCTCTTCAGGAACCTTTAATCGATCATCTGTATATCAAGGGCCAATATTAGGAAATTACCCAAAATTGCACAATTTGGTAAAGAAATCGCATTTTTTGTATAATTTTGATGTTAAAAAATTTTGTCATTGAAATTATTCGCATGTTGGGTTCGAGGTGGGAGCGACGGATGCAGGTGCTATAAAATACGCACAGGCTTGGTGTGAGGATAAAAAGCCGCAGATTACTGATGTCGTAATTAGGCGAGTGAAAGAACGATGCTAAACTTTCGCAATAGGTTTAAAAAAAAAAGGTGAACCTGCTATGGACGCTCGCATACGATACAGCGCAATAGATATACCGCTTTCGTAGACCGTTTATCGCAAAAGATATACGATATAAAATACGAGGTATCGCATACTTGTTGTCGCATATCTGGGTTTAAGTTTAACAACTATTTTTTCGTATTTTTTTTTTAATTCCGAGTAAGACAGAAGAGGTGTAATTCGGAGAAATGCTGTTAATGCACAACCAAGAAAAACCGATAAAACTTTCGCAACAGTTATAAAACATTAACAACATATTCGCACTAAAATAGTATGCGTTAAAATGCCCACGTTCAAAAATGTATCTGCGGTAAGATCTCGTATGCGAGAAAACTGACCGTTCGTATGCGAGTGCTCATAGCACCTAGTACCGTTTTTAGTGTTGTTTTTTTTTTTAACTCAAATTTCTCATAGATTGTTCAAATACGAAATAATTTAAAATGTTTAAAGCTGTGGCAGCACTGAATTTACAAGAATCTACAAATTTAAATGTACTAAAATGCAACCATGACTGATAAAAAATTTAAGTTGCAAACTTACGTTCATCTTTAATTGTATTCGCGTTGAAAATGCTACTACGCAGGTAAGTTAAGTATTTCTCTTTCATTTTCTAATTACTCTGGTTTACAGCAAAAATGTTCTATGGATGCCACTGTCCGATTCCTATGTAGAATTTCTCGGCGATTCCGAAACTCGAGTAATTTTTTTTTTCTATGGATACGTTTTCGAGATATTTGCAATTTACCGTTATTCAGCTTAAACAATTTCTTTAACACTAATCTTATATTATTTCAAAAAAGGTTATTTTATGAAAAAAATATGATTTTTTTTATGTATTTTAATATTTTTGGCTTAAATATATGAACATATTATATATCAACTGAAAGATAAATAAATCGTCTTTATTTCAGCGTAAAAAGTACAATGGATCCGCATTTTAATTTTTCCATAGCTGAACGGTTGGTTATCTCTTTGTGTTCCAAATAATTTATTATAAAGTTACACAAAATGAGAGAGAACAGCTGACTTTTACGCTAAGTGCCACGTACATGATTTTTTGCTCTCTACGTCCGACAACCTACGTTTACGCTGCGTCGTTGAGTGCCCGCGCCTTTAAGAACGGTTTTCACTATGTCATATTTTGACAACAAATTCTGTCAACATATTTTGACAGAACCTTATCTTCTTTTTTCACACCTTTACCAGTAAACATTTTCAATAAGTAATGGTATATAAAAACAATGAACTCTGGAAAAAAAATTTATCCAACCAAAAACCTTTTTGTATAAAAGGGAAAATATACGACACCAGCTTGCTGGTTCCATCAAGTGATTGTACCATCAGGCTCGAAGCATATAACTTACCAGCATTTTGTAAAACATTGTTTTTTTTTTGTAATTCACAACTGCAATATCGTGAACTTAATCTTCCACAAACACGGCTTTGACTCATATAGTGCAAGAAATTTCCGCCAAAACACTTTTTACTTAGAACATTCAGCTAATTTCACACTCACGACGCCAGGATGCTGGTAAAATCACACCACGAGAACATACGCGGTCAATCGACTTGATGGGTCATTTAACAAATTTAGCATATTAAACCGTGAACTTATCTACTTTAAACTATAGTTAAATCGTTTACAGCCCAACACTTTTACAGTATGTATGTATAAAAGCGTAAGGAACATACAATACATATATGTATGTATGTATATGTATATATCAGTCTTTATTAGTTTAAAAATTCATCTCTTACATAAATGCAAAAAAAAAAAAAAACAAATTAAGCATATACAACTTTTTCATGCCAAGTATGAATAAATTCTAAAAAGGCTAAAAAAAGGCCTAGGGGCAATTTTAAAATTATGTGGCCAAAAAAAGTATGTGGTAGCTAAATCTAGCCACCAAAGGACTAAAACGGCAACACTGTTTATATGTATTTGTGTACGCCCATGAGTGGAGGGACCCATAGTTTTATGCCGACTCCAAACGGCGATCTTATTTTTATGAGAAGCTGTTTTTCATGGCAGGAATACACTCGAAGGGTTGCCATTGCCTGCCGAACGGCGACCGCTATTAAAAAAAAAACCTCTTTTGATTTGTATTTTTTGATGTTGGGATAAACCGGGCTTGAACCCAGGCCCATCGGAAAGGTAGCGCGCACTGCTAAACACTATACCACAGAGGCCGCCAAGCTTACAGTTGTTTAAATAGCCTCCTAGTACAAATTACTGTTTTTTCGAAATTTTCAAGTTGAACGAATAAGTTAAAATTTCTCTTTCAGTTTTTATGTAAGTTCATTATTTAGATAAAATGGGAATATGAAGTAGCAGTTTTTGCTCATTTGAAACAAATGGTTTTAGCCGTCCATTGCATTCCAGTCGCAACTAAAGATTTCTTAAAAAATATGTTCGTATCAAATGCTCAAAAAATTAACAAAGTAATTTGTGAAAAATAAAGAATCTAAATTTCAATCAGTTTTGGAGAATGACGCGTTGCTGAAATGATAGCAACCGGTTACGTAGACCCGACTGTCGTTCGCTTCTTACTCTACTACTTACTCTACTACACAGATTTGTCCATTTTCACAGAGTGGTGATGTTTGGAAAGCTTTTACTGAGCTGCACTCATTATCGATGAGAATTTCTAGACAACACCACTCTGTGACTCCCAAATGTACAAATGTACAAATCGTGTGATCCCTGCTTTATACTTAGAATTTGGTAGTCACGGCCAATCGGTTTCAGCTGAGTTGGCGTCGTCTTGTATCCTATCATTCTTGGCACTTACGTTTACAGCTAAATGTTTACCTTAAAACTGTAGTTATTTACTTTTATTCTTATCAGCTCAATATATACTAATTTTTATTTTAATCGTACACTGATAAGCGCGGAAATATTTTGTTTACTATTTATGCAAATACATATGTACATGTTTGCAAGCAGTGTGACCAGATAATAACAAAACATGAATCCAAATTCTTTAGATTTTACCTTATTTAGTCTTTAGATGAACTTAAAAGTACAATACCATTTTTACTACACTCACAGAATTTGTCCTGATAAGTTTTGATTTTAAAAATTGAGCGTTGAGAACTTTTCTCTGTTGCTCTCTCTCAAAGAGAGAAACACAACAGCTACCACATAGAAGAAAAGTGCTGGACCAGAGCGTTCCATTAAACAAAACGACGCTACACTTGGTCAGGAACACAGCCCTTAAAGTTGACGAGGCACAGAGCGACTCTGTACTCGATCAAAACTGCAGCCCCTTGCAGGACTTGGGCTGCTCTTGAGCAGGAATGGAACATCCCTGCTTGCCTTGGGCTGAGCACATAACAACACTGAACTTTGGTAGGAACGGAGTCACTTGCTGAACTTTGCTGGAGCACAAAGCGACGCTGAACTTTAGCAAAACAAATTTGGCTTTACATCCGATCGCCACTGTCGAAATTGCAACGAACAGTGATGAAAACAAATACGAAGAAGTAAATTTCTGAGCACCTTGAAAATGACGAGCTACGGGCCACAGCTTCCAATCTGTTGTCTTCATTATCTAAACGCTTTGTCCATGACGACATGATTTTTTTGAACGCGGCAGCGACATCATGAATTTGTATGAGTTTGACATAAAAGAAGAGGAAGTACCTTATCTGTCACTGGAAAAATATAAATAGATATATTCTGGCCACAACCACAATTATCTACATAAGAGTACGTGTTAAAATAATTTGACAGCTGTGGTCCGTAGCTCATCGTTTTCATTGTGATCGAGCTATAATGTTTTTATGTCTTTCCTTGTGTGAATTTATAATACTTTTTTAGGTAATTACATTGAAAATAAAAATTAGTTTCTCGAATAGGCAATTGAAATTTCCTAAGGCAGCGCAAGAGCGAGATGTTGCCAACGTACATCACATTTTATTATTGCATCATGGATACATATAAGCGCTGATCCAAAAGACTCTACTTAAATTTTTTTAATCAGTTAATGGTTTATCAACAGGCTCTTCACCCGGTCTAAGTTTAATTCGTCTTAGACCCGACTCATCCCTTGCGGCTGTAATTCGAAGTCAATTAGTCCCCTACTCAACGATTCAATGAAATCTGCGCACTTAGCAGCTCTTCATACTTGCTTTGGTATAAAAATTATCGAACAAAAGGAAACTTTTGCTTACATACACCGGTTAACCGGTTAAAAATAATGTTTCAGTAGTGTATTTTATTATTGCACAACAACAAAATGCACTGCGGAAAAATTATTTTTAACTAGATAAGCTGACAAACAGGCCAGCGTGGAAAACCGCAATGATTTATAAGGTTCTGAATAAAGCTTGGGCAATATTTGTATTAAAAAAAAACAACAAAAATTTATCTAGAAAAACATTGCAAATATTCAAAAAAAAAACCAACACGTGGTCATTTCTTTGAGTGACTGTATATTTCTGAATATTCAACTAGCGTTTTATTAATGTGAAACATATTAGCTTTTACAAATAACTATAATCGTAAATAGTATGAATAATAAAATACATTCATAAATGCAAATATGCAACATTCTTATCGGTAAACGTCGTCTAAGCTGATAACTGCATCTCATTTTCAAACAAGAATTCCAATGTGATCAGTAACGAAATGGAAGCGATTCTAGTCACTGTTGGTCTTCTTGGGGCTATAATTTTATTAGTTTACAAGTATTTAAGCTGGCATCATGGAGTATTTAAAGAAGTTGGTCTAGATGGCCCAAAACCAAATATATTTTTAGGAAATTTTCCCAGCGCTATCACCGGCAAACAGCCAATGGTCTATGATGTCGATGAAGTTTATAGGTGAGTGTGACTGCTATGTTCCTAGTGGTTTTTGAATGTTAATGGTCAGTGTTCAGCGTTGTCACTGTGCTACGATTTTTAAAAAATTGCTACGATTTTTTTTTAAATTTTAAAATTTGCTATCCCACTACGTTTCATCCGTTTGTACTACGCATTTTTATTTCATTCAATTTATGAGCAACAGCAATTTTTAAATATCCATTACTTTATAATAATAATAGATTGGCGCTTACACATATGTCAGTGTTTGGCCGAGCTTCTCCTCCGATTTGTGGCGTGCGCCTTGATGTTGTCACACAAAGGGATCCACTCCGAGCGTCGACTGTATTTTTATAGCATAAATACACTCGGAGGTTCGCCATAGCCTGCCGAGGGGCGGCCGCTATCAGAAAAAAAAAAATTTTTTGTTTTTTTTATATTAGGCTGAAACGGGCTTGAACCGAGCCCCATTTTCTGAAAACAAATTTTAAACTGAGATGCCTTTCAAACTGATTTTTGTTTTTTTTTCTCAAAAAATGTGTTTGAAGGGCAGATAAGTTTTTAAAGTTATTTGAGAAAACAGCCATCAATGAGCGAGAGAGATACGAAGAAGCTATAGTAATTATTTCGTTCCCATTGTTTTCAGACATGTAATAATTTATAGCATGCAATTCTAAACAATTCTTGCAATTTTCAGTAAATATAAGAACACGCATAAAGCCATCGGTGTCTTTATGACTCGGAATCCGCAAATATTAATATTAGACCCAGGGCTGGCGCAGAAAATTATGGTGACAAATTTTGGAAAATTTCGCGGCAACGTAGCAGCCGATTTGGTAAGAAAATGCACATGTATATGTACATATTTACATACACACATGCATACATATGTACAGTAGATTGTCCCAAAAATATATGGGACAAAAATTTTTGCAAGTTTTTATATGCATACCCTCTATATGTTTGCTTTTCGCCCTAAATATCATATATATGAAGTTTTATGGCCGTAGGATTACGATAATCCGTGCCGACTTTTAGTTGAAGTTTTAGTTAATAAGTTGAATTAATCGTCCATGCGAAAAATTCGATATGTTTCCCATACTTGAACGAATCTCTAATAAATCTACATCCTTAAATTTTTAATAGGATGGCAGGTTTTTTTCCAAGGAAATGGAAACCGTTAAGCAATTTTTATCCTTCAAGATCCTTATACATATTTATAGCATTCAAATTAAACTAGGATTCTTCAAAATGCATTAAAAATTCAAAATCTTGAAGGATAATATTTTCAAAGGACATTTTTACATGTTCCAAAAGGATTAATTTAAAACAAAAGTTATAATTAATCTTGTTTTGAATTTCTCTTTTAATTGATACTCGCATATCCATATTTTGTGTAAACTTTTGGAAATATATGTATTATAATTTATGGTCCTTTGAAAACAATCCTGACTACCTGGTAAAAAAAAACTAAAAACGTAGATTTGTTAAATATTATGTCCTAATACTGTCGTGAGTATTGTAATATCGCCTAGAATATCGTAAATAAGTAAAGTTAGTAAGTCAACAAAACACAGAACTGAATTGCAAGCTTGCCGTGGTCCAAATTCCATAAAACTTTAGTCGGATAGCTTTTAAGACAAAACCAATAAAATGAGGGTGTATGCGTTAAAAAATAACAATTTTGGTTTTTTTGGTACAGTCTAATGTACATACTTTGAACTCCTGGAATCATTAACGGAAAATTAATCGTGTGAAATGAGACTAAATATTTAGGCTCTTTCTTTTAATAGATATATAACAGAAAAGAAGATAAGATAGCTGCCGGAAGTCCTTTCTTTACCAGCGACGAGTCGTGGAAAGCGAAAAGGTTACATGTAGTCGGTGGATTAAAGCAAAACAAGGTTCTTTTCACGTTTTATTTTAATTTTTCAAGCCCTAAAAAATCCATTAACGCTGACTTATTTTCAGCTCAGCATGGCTTATCCCATTTGGAAAGGCTGCGCAAAAAAATTGGCCAAATATCTCGAAACCAGAACTGCTAATGGCAATGCCATCATCGAAACAAAGAATGTAAGTAGATACCTAATGAAGAACGAATTCCAGGCTGCCGGATTAAGAGGCAAACGTATGAATATTGTTAAGATAATAAAGGCAACTTGTCCTAGACAATTCAGCGTTTACGCTTGGTTTTTAGACGTAATATTATTTTACATGCAAACCTTCGCTGAATCGATTCAAAACCCCTTTAACAGTTTTATCTTTACAACTTCGAGAGTTTGTTTTTATGTAATGTATGTATGTAGATACAAAAAAAAAATATGTAACAGTAATTTCTTTTCACTTCATTCTCTTACCCAGCTCGGCTTCTGTTTTACCTCCAACGTCTTAGGTGAGTTCCTTTGGGGCATCGAAACGAACGCATTCGCTAAGTCGAACGAACCGAATACTTTTCTGGAAATGTCACAAAAATGGCTCCAATATATCGCTCAATCATTTACCGTTTATTTCAAATTGCTACCCGTGCCTTGGTTACGTCGCTTTGCGCAACCTCGTTTGTTTCCCTTGGCAACCGATCGGTTCTTTACACAACTAACTAAGGATGCACTTGAGTGGCGTGAAAAAGATGAGAGTAGCCAGAACAGAGTGGATTTTCTCAACTATCTGCGACAGTTGCAAGAAAAGAAAAATTTAACGCTCAACGATATGGTCGGATGTATGCTGACTACAACGCTGGATGGTTTCGAGACATCGGCGACGGTGCTCTTCCATACAATATTTTATGTGAGTGTCTACTAATCTTTATAAACAATTCTACTTATTGCGAATATAATATTTTCTTTTAAAAGTTGGCGCATCATCCGCAGTACCAGGAGAAGCTGCGTATGGAGATCTTAGCAAATCTCGAGGAGGATGGGAGTGTGAGCTATCAAAAATTGTGTGCTTTGCCGTATTTAAATCAGTGTGTCAATGGTGCGTCTTTTTTGCCTACATACATATATTTTTAAAAACTTTTAAGCCATCCATTTATTATGTTTTATTTAGAGTCCATTCGCTTGATCAGCGTAGTATCATTTTATGCCCGCATTTGCACTGAGCCCACTGAACTGGAAGTGGGCCAAGGGCTTGTAATACCAATTAAAGTCGGCCAAGTGGTCAGTGTGCCTGTATTTAGTTTTCATCATAACCCTGATCACTTTCCAAAACCATACGAATTCAATCCGGATCGTTTTAATAACGACGCACATCTGGATTTAATGAAAAGGGGTATATTTATGCCTTTCGGAAATGGACCACGAATATGCGCAGGTGAGTTTTCGAATTTAATATAAATTTTTAGTAGCAAAGCATTTCCGTCTGTGGCAAGATCAAAGGCAGTAGCTGATAACAGTATGATAGATTAGGACTCATTGCTGGTTCAACGGGACTATTTAACAAGTTGTAGTACTGTTTTAAACTACAGTTCTTCCTAGTAGCCGGGAGACAAATTTTTGTTAACTACATAGTGATCTATATTGAAAACGGGCCATGCAAAGATTTCCCAGAGGCTTTCATGGACTCCCTACGCTAAGCTGGATTCTCTGGACCTCTGACAGAAGTCTTCAGTCTTCTCCTACGTAAAAGATCTATAAATATGTATGTGATAAATATCACAGGCGAGCAAGAGCCAGGAAGCGTAAACACAAACCTATATTTCCGAAGGGTTTTGGTGCGTTGAATCCCAATCTACTATTTTTTTACATATCTGTGGTTTTGTAACATAGCAAGTAAATTTTTCCATAGATAACTAGTCAATGTATCTTAAAAACAAATATTCCTCTTTCGAATGCCGTTGAATTTGCTCAACTATCTTTTTCCCTTTTCCTAGACTTGTAAGAGACCAGTTTGGTGCCGATAACCGAAAAATTTGTGTGCAATTCCCAACGATACATTTTTGGTTTAATAAGAACTTATTTGCATTCTTTTCAGGCATGCATTTGGGTTTGGTGGAGGTTAAAACCTGCCTCGTAGAAATATTCAAGGCTTATCGAGTAAAATGCTGTGCAAAAACAATTCCGGAAAAACGACCCGAATCACCGACATTCATAATGGGTATCGATGGCGAATTTTGGCTGGAGTATGAAAGACTATAATATAGATATTAAAGTTTTAGTCCTTAAAGAAAATAAATATAATTTGTTTTTCTTTTATAAAAATACATACATGTAAGTATATGTGCATACATATATACCTACCTTCTAATGTTTATTTCTTTCGATTAAACAAAATATCAATATACATAAACATATTTGCATATTTTAACTAATTTATTACACACTTTTTGGAATCCTACACACTCAAAGATGCCTCAAATTGCACTGAAAGCGTAGTAGCAACCCAATCAACATTTTTGTTAAATATCAATTTCAGATGCATTTGAGGTTCAAACGTTACTTCTCAAATGCATCTCAAATAACTATTGTTAGCGTTCTCAAACTAAAAGGCAAATCAGTATTATTATGAAACTTCTGGAAATACTCTATCTAAGTAGTCGCTTCACCAATCCTTACCAAACTCGGTACGAGCCTTACCTAGGATCCAACTGAGATGTTTGTTGAAAATCTTTGAAATCAGGCAATAGCCACGCCCACCTGCCATATAACGGTAATTTACAGAAAGATGAAAACTGCGATAAATCAGTAACTACTGAACCTAATTGACTCAAAATCGATTGTTCCAATAACCTCTGAGTAGAAAATTAGATTATTATAAATTTTTGGCTTTTGGGCGTAGCACCGCCTACCAATGAACGCAAATTTGTATCTCGGTGCATTTAATAACCTTGGTACGGAAAAGCAATTCGTTAAAAAAATTCAAATCGGGCTAAAACTACACCCGCTTCCCATATAACGGTAAATTTCGGAAAAACGGCGTGGCACCGCCCACTTTATGACTACAAAGGTGTATCTCGGTAACTTTTTATCGATTTTAGCGCAACATCTGTGCAATTTAGTATAAACAACGATCGACGCAAGCCTGATTTAACGCAATGTTTTTGTGTGGCGGCGTGTGCAAAGAAATTTCGGGTTGTATTTCCCTTAAAAGACCTACAAATATCTACATATAAAATTTTAAAACTTTAAATAACAAGAAAAAAATTATTTGCCTTTAAACTAGTAATATTATTCGCAGTTTTCAAAAATTCATTTCTGCCAGCCAAAAGTATCCAAATGGGGCATTTGTTAACAAAAAAGTATCAAAGAATCAAATCTTAAAATTTGGGAAAAGGTATCAAAAATTATACAATTGTAACAAAATGGCAACGCTGCGGCCGATAGACTTCGACATCTTTGCATTGTTGACACAGGTCGAATGAAGCAAAATGCTAAAAAAAAATCCCAAATGTTTCGCAAACCGTTCTTAAGTTGATAAACAATATTTGAGAAAAATTTGGGAAAATATTTAGTTTCAAATGAGAAGCAATGCTAAAAATCAAACTGAGCGTTTGTTGGGAAGCAAGTAAATGCTCACAAACAAACACAGAAATGAGAGAGCAAACATTTCGACTGCAGTATTTAATTAATTGCACTTGGTATCAATGACATTTTCATTAAATATCGTCACTCAAAAGTATGTATTCGCATCTCAAACTTTCACCTGACTGACCGGACGCATACAAGCGCTCACGCAAACACACACACACGGATATACACACATACATATCTACATATGTACATCTAAAATAGGACAAATTACGAATTAGAAATTACGAATTTTCCGCAACAACAATGTATTACTACAACAAAAGTGACAACAGCTGAACGACATTTCACCCTCAACTGGCCCACCTTTTGTGTTGCATACATGTACGTGTGTGTATGAATATACTAGGGTTGTTTCGAATGTCATATTTTTCAAATTGGCGAATGCGAATGCGAATGCGAATTTTCGGAATGCGAATGTTAGTTTACTTTTCCACCACCGAGAAGAGCTCGTTTTTCTTTAAGATAGGCCTTCAATTGAGCTTTAATTTCACATTCTCCAGATTCTACATCCTTATAATAATACTTTTAGCATTAATTGTTGAAGGCCCACCAGTGTTGCGCTTGATATACTACTTAACCGTTTAGAGCCTGAAGCTACAAGCCGGTTATTTCCCGCACCCGGTCTAGACAGACTTACAGCCCGATTCTGTGCACTAGGTAAATAACAAAATTTTATAATTTGCGATATTTTTATTATTTATCAATTATCAATTATCAAGAAAAAAATGCTATTGACAAGCGTTTACAAATTGAAATTTCATATGAAAATTATAAATCTCGTAGTATATTAAAAAATTATTTCTATAATTTAAATGCTGCATGTGCCGGCATTTGAACCTGCGACACACAGAATTTATAGCCGACATTTATACTTACTCGGCTACGGCAGTCAAAAGCCTTTTTGCTTTTGAATTCATATTTTTCATAAGTGACAATAAAATCAGTTTCCTTCATATGGAAATCGTAGAGCTTTTCATTTTATAAGTATTGACACAGAATGCGATTGGGGCTTTTAATCGTGATAAAATTTCTTTACAAATGATTTATCAAGAAAACACAGAATTGTGCGGATAGAGCCATTTCAACAATATTAGAGTGGACTCTCTGCCCGTGTATTCATTCACATCCGCAAAACATTCGTATCATTTGATGCGAATGCGAATGCGAATGTCGAATGCGAATGTGTAAAATGGTGCGAATCATTCGCATAACGAATGCGAATGCAAATATTCGTAACATCCCTGGAATGTACATACATATGTACATATATGTATGTTGTTGAAGCGAGAGATAAACAAGCAAAGCTCCAATAATGAAACTGCTGACAACAAACTGACATTTACAAATGTCACATGCAATATTGAACATACACAAAAGGCAAAGTTAATAAAAAGCCACCGTCGTCGCCATCTCAAAATAAATACTTACAAACTGCAGCACTTCGTCCGCCTCCTACTTCCTTCAGGAAGGCAGGAAACTTTCTATCGAAAACATTACACAATCATGTCAATCAGGGCAGCGGGAATGGTACCGGTGGAACGCCTTGTGAGCACAAGTGTGTGTGTATACGGAGCTTAGGATAAAGGACCGAACTGTTGCCGTACAAATAACAAAGTAAGCAGAGACTGAAGGAAAAAATTGTAGTAAGATATGAAGAACTAAGAGGAAATATGTCGCAAGAAAGTCAAAATCAGTGCCAACGTTTTGTGTCAACCTGCCAAGGCAATCTAGCGGAGGAGGAGGACGGCGAGTGTGGTTCGAAGTGGTCGTGGCATAGCTGTATGCTCAATGACCCCAGACGCGCTGTTTTATAGTACATAGTGCCACTTTAGAAGCCATTACAGCATAATGTAACCACACACCCACCACTCAAACAATGATTTCCATCTGGTTTTTATTGGTATTTCTTTTTGTTATGCGGTAGCTCAAAGATTGAACTCTTCCGCTGAATGCTGGCTAATCGTCGTCGTCCTTACGTACACATTGTGGCTGTCCTGCAAGCAATTAACTTTGACTAATTGTGGTCAGCTTAATTAGGAAAAAGCAATGCAACAGCAGCTATGTGAAACAATGTGAAGATAAGGATGAAAGCGTACATTTGAAAGTCGAGAAAAAAGTATTATTTGAGTAGCTTATAAATTGGCATTGTACTTACTTAAGTACCGGAGCGGAGGAGCGCGGATATATGTATATATATGTACATAGAGGAACAAGTGGTTAACAATTGACAATTTTCAAGTTTTATCACTTGCAAAAGTAGCTTTTTAAATGAGTAATTAGCCAATTGCTGTGATTATTCTAAGAGCCGAATCCTTTGTTAACAAAACAATAGAGCAGCAAAAGCTTTCTGAAAGGCATTCATATGAGGCATAATTTTTTGAGTCGGTCGCATTTAGTACATACAAAAGTTACGTCATATCTCCGATTGGCTTCAAATTTGTTTATGGGTTCTATACATGAAATAAGATAACAGGTATTCGAGGCATTTTTGTAACTTGATTTCGAAACTTATGATGGGACATAGATGCATGCATATGTATATACTACAATATGAGATTGGGTATTATACAGAATTGTAATGTTTTTTAACAACGCTTTAATTTAAAACCCGTTTTTCGATCTCTTAAACGCGGTCGATTTTGGATTACGTGTTCGTTTTAAAATATATTTAAATATATTTATTTCATGAAATGTGATATTAATTGTATTCAAATTTGATTTAGTTTTCACTGGATTTAAGGAAAACAGTTCACTGAAAATACGAAGAAGGATTTCATGTTTACGAGCAACACCAAATTTTTTTGAAAAAAACCATTCGAAAAAATATTAAGTAAAATAAATAAGAATTCATTTTCTTAAGCTTACTAAATTTAAGAAAATAACTTTACGCATGCTAATAAATGATTTGGTAATTCACTTAAATTTTCAGAACAAATACAAAATACTGGAGAAAATAAATTAGAAAATACTTTCTTAAATGAAGTCAGAAGTTTCTTGTTTTGATTTCTGAGAACGTGTGGCAGGCGCCTATGAAACTAATACAAATACATATTTACAAATACCAGCCACGGTTTTCACAGAATTGAGTTGTTGAAAACAAAAATAGAACACGGCAGAAATAAATTTGAAAATAAACAAGAAGTGATTTCTTAAAGGATGTCAGAAATTTCTTATTCTACTCTCTAAGAAACTTTTACATACATTTGGCGATATCATATCTATATGTATAAAGCTACTTCTGGCTTTGAATTGTCAAAGCCACAACTAAAACACAGTTAATTGCTTTACTAGAAAATGTCAGCTGTGGCGTCACGTGAAAACTACTGCTGCTGATTCTGAGATTGCAGATTCGAGTCCGCTTGGAGGTGGTCAGAGTAGGTTAAGTCAATTATTTCAATTCAAATATTAACTTTAAATTACAAATTTTAAAATCTGGTTCTGGTTCATTCTAAAATTAAAGATGTTTGTTCATACTTAATGGAACATCGAACAAGGCTATCAAACTTTCTGCAGCTGTCACCTAGAAGATAGAAAGATCACTGTTCAATGTATTTCATACAAATTCTCGGGGCTCACGTCCATATAAGACTAATGAAAGAAGTAATATAAATATATTTCTGTCCATGAATACGATTACAATAACTTACAAAATTGCCTTGATAAAAT